CCACAGTGACCATTTCCAGGCTGGGCTGTGCTGTGGGCCACATTTTGCACCATGGGATCTTGGCAGCATTGGCTGTGATTTGGTAGGGTGTCACTCCAGGTTGGTGGCGGGGCCTGTATCCCACTTGGGGAAAGCTGAGTATTAGTTTGTCACTGCCAGGTCCATGGAGCCATTTATTTTTAAATGGCCAGTGCACATCATGGCAGTTCCTGCATTGAGCGTCTGCCCTCTCTGGTAGTCATAGCTACTGGTCGGATGGACACTTTTTATATATAAACTTGAGGCCCAGTCCCTCAGCCCAGCCTGCCCCTTCTATCAGTCTGAGAGCCTTCAGGGGTGGGAGGAGACCCAGCAACCAGGGAAAGGCAAAGCATCCATCACACCTCTGCTGCTGCCACTGCTGGCAGCGCAAGCCTGTGATGTGGTTACCTGAGCCTCGGGCAGCTGCCATCTAAGGCTTGCCTGCACCTCAGGCTGGCCCTGGGTGTCTGGGGGCTAAGAGAACTGGGGGACTCTGGAGGGAGGCCCGTGGCAAGGCCAGGTCTGCCCAGCACATTTGCCGCACCAGCCAGGCTGAGAGGACTGGGCACCACCCTCTTGTGGCTGGGGGTGTCGCCATATTTGAGGGCAGGGCAATCAATTAGCATATTCCCTCCTTATTGGCTGTGGGTGCCATATTCTTTGCAATGGTGTGAGGGTCAATTAGCATATTCCCTCTTTATTAGATAGGATATTGCAAAATATTATAACCACAATAAATTTAGTCTACACACACTTCACTGCACATTTTTGTTATTGTTGTTATGATAAGAATTGCTATTTTTGTTATTGTTATGATAAGAATATTTTAAGATCTACTTTCTTTGTAACTTTCAAATATACAATATAGTGTCATTAGACAGTCATCATGCTGTATATTAGATCCCCAGAACATATTCTTCTCATAACTGGAAGTTTGTGTCTGTTGACCAATTTCTCCCTATTTCTCTAACCCTTGCCCCTGGCAACCAGCACTTTATTATGTTTCTAGCCTTCAGCTTTGTTAGATTTCACATACATCTAAGAGTATACAGTATTGTCTTTCTCTGGCATTCCATCTATAATAATAAAAATGTAATGTGCTAATTAGACCAGACATCCTTCTGAATGACCTTCCAGACAAAGCCGAGGGAAGCTCAGGGAAGCTCAGGTCCCAGGTGCCAGAGGGAAGCCAGTGCCAGCAGCTGGGGGAAGGAAGGCCTACTCTTGCACAGATTTTGTGCATCAGGCTTCTAGTTTATTATAATGCTCTCAAGGTTCATTCTTGTCATAAATGGCAGTTTCCTTCTTTTTTATGGCTGAGTAATATTCACATGTAGTATAGTTGTTTTCAGGTCCTAGCTATTATGAATTGATACTGTAATGAACACTGGGGTGTAGATATCTCTACAGGATAGTGACTTCATTTCCCTCAGATAAATACCCAAATGTAGGTTTGCTGGATCATATGTTGTATTAATATTTTTAAATTTTTTGATACCTTCACATTGTTTTCCATAGTGCTGTTTCTATTTACATTCCTACCATCAGCAGCTCTTTTTTTTTTTTTTAATATATTTTATTGATTTTGTACAGAGAGGAAGGGAGAAAGATAGAGAGCTAGAAACATCAATGAGAGAGAGTCATCGATCAGCTGCCTCTTGCATACCCTCTACTGGGGATATGCCCGCAACCAAGGTACATGCCCTTGACCGGAATCGAACCCGGGTCCCTTCAGTCCCCAAGCCGATGCTCAATCCATGGAGCCAAACCGGTTTCGGCATCAGCAGCTCTTTAAAAAAATAATAATAATAAAAATATATATATATATATATATATATATATATATATATATATATATATATATATATATATTTTAGAAGGAAGGGAGAGAGAGAGATAGAAATATCAATGATGAGAGGAAATCATTGATCGGCTGCCTCCTACATGCCCCACATTGGTGATTGAGCCCACAACCCAGGCATGTGCCCTGACCAGGAATTGAACCATGACCTCCTGGTTCATGGATTGACACTCAACCACAGAGCTATGCCAGCCAGGCCCAACAGCAGCTCTTATCATTTGTACTTCCCTTTTGTGGTCCCCATGAGTATGGACTGTAGAACAGAGAACTAATATAAAGTAAATTCCGAATTGATCATGAAAGTCCTTGAGTCCCATATTGAAAAATTAAACTTCATAGTACATTTTTTAATTTAAAAAAATATTTTTATTGATTTCAGAGTGAAAAGGAGAGGGCAAGAGAGATAGAAACAGCAGTGATGAGAATCACCAATTGGCTGCCTCCTACACACCCCACACTGGGGATTGAGACTGCAACACAGGCATGTGTCCTGACCTGGAATCAAATTGTGACCTCCTGGTTCAACCACTGCGACACACCAGCCAGGCCATAGTACATTTTTAAGCAGGCAAAGTGATAAGATCAAGATTCTGTTTTAGAAAATCTATCTGGTGTTCTGCAGAATGAATTAGAGAGTACATATTTGGGCCCAGAAAATCAGTTAGGCGAACATTTCAGTGATTGAAGAGTGAGGAGACAAGTCAAAGGAAGTATTAGCTACCATGGAAAGAAGGTGGGACACACTGTAGAGTAGGGGTGTCGAACTCAATCAGAGAAGGGGCCAAAATCTAAAATCCAGCCTAAATCGCGGGCCGAATGGTTTACTGAACAGTCATAAACTGTCATTGTGATGGAAACGCAGCGGAGTGCAGTGATGACAGCGCGGTGCGGGCCACATTGCAAGGCCTGGCGGAACGGATTTGGCCCGCGGGCCTTGTGTTTGACACATGTGCTGTAGAGCAAGAATTATCAAGACTTGGCAACTTTCTGTTTATGGAGGAAAGGAAAGGGAGTTGCCAAAGCTGAGCCAGGACGTCAAGCCTGTGACTGGAAGAACATTATTGTCATGCTTTCAGGTACTCATTAGGCAAACGTATTAAGTACACAGTGGATACAGAGATGAATAACAGAGAAATGCCTGTCTTTATTTTTTTTTTTTAATATATTTTATCGATTTTTTACAGAGAGGAAGGGAGAGGGATAGAGTTAGAAACATCGATGAGAGAAAAACATTGTTCAGCTGCTTCCTGCACACCTCCTACTGGAGATGTGCCTGCAACGAAGGTACATGCCCTTGACGGGAATAGAACCTGGGACCCTTCAGTCCGCAGGCCAAAGTGCTATCCACTGAGCCAAATGGTTTCGGCAAGAAATACCGGTCTTTAAAAGCTCACAATCCAGTAGGAGATAAATGTAAACTTAAAAGTAGGTAAAATGTGAATGTGCTTTAAAAGAGGTACAAATGCTATTGCTGACAGAGTAAAAGAACCATTGAGAGAAGTCAGGAGGAGGACTAGTTGCAGTACAGAGGTGACTGCAAAATAATACCTGCTCCATGCCATCCAAGTGTGAGACGCAGATAAGGATCTTCTGCTTCTTACATTCTGATGGTGGAGGTGGGGGAGAGTTGCCAAATTTCAGCATTAAAAATACAACACATGCAGAATTTGCTGGGGCAGGGAAGGGGCTGAGTTGGGCATCAGAGGAAAAGTGGAATTTAGGTATTGATGTGTGTTACTGCTGGAATCCAACAAGGAACGCCAGACACTGACTTCATAAAACCATAAAGCGGGAGGCAACCTTTCATACCTTTGCCCACTTCCTTGTATGGTTCCCAAAAGGCTTGGAAACTGAAGGTGGGTGGAGAGGGAGAGACAGTTAACTACCAAATTCCCAAATAAAGAGCTCCTCTAACAACCTTAAGTTAGGAGAACCTCTTGATAGACCTTTCTTCTTCTCCTTCTTTTCCTTCTCCTTCTCCTCCTCCTCCTCCTCCTCCTCCTCCTCCTCCTCCTCCTCCTCCTCCTCCCCCTCCTCCTCCTCCTCCTCCTCCTTCTTCTTTTCTAATATGGAGCCCCAACTCTCTCCAGCCTCTGAGACTGTCAATGACTCCGTTATTCAGGAGATGAAATGAAGATTTAGTTTGTGGATTAGCTAAGCTCTTTGCTTTTCCTTCTTTATTCTTCCATATGCCTTTTAGGCATTTTATTACTCATTAGAATTTCCACCAGAGGGTGGGAGTAAAGAGAATATGAAATTTTAAAAAGTGGTTACTGCCGAAACTGGTTTGGATCAGCGGATAGAGCGAAGGCCTGCGGACTGAAAGGTCCCAGGTTCAATTCCGATCAAGGGCATGTACCTTGGTTTCGGGCACATCCACAGTGGCGGGTGTGCAAGAGGCAGCTGATGGATGATTCTCATCGACGTTTCTAACTCTCTATCCCTCTCTCTTCCTCTCTGTAAAAAATCAATAACATTTTTTTTAAGTGGTTACTGTTAGAGAACCTGGGTATGTGATGCTTAACACTATCAAACAAGTATAGCACTTTTATTTTGTTGCGCCTTTCTCTTTTTCCCCCTCCTTTTTGTTGCACTTTTACCACAAACAAAGGTGGTTTAACTAACTTCGTAGGAAAATGACCTCAGAGTAGATCATTATTTTATCCAGTAAAACAAAATGGCATTTTCAATGTCAGTGGCGTTACTAGGGTGCTGACGCAGCGGAGACGGGAAGTGTTGCTTGGACACCTGGCTGGGCGGGGACAGCCAGCAGCTACGGTTCCAAAACCCATTTTCCTCCAGTCACGCCCTTCTCAAAGATGGCGGGCCGCGCTTCCCTCGCTCGACGTAGACGTTTCCGATCGCTCCCTAGGAATTTGAGGATAATCTAATCCAGCACCGCTTGCATGACAAAACCTAACATGGCAGGCATATATCCCTTTAGAATTTAAGGGTAGTGAAGCCATTTTTCCCCCGCCGCTCGGCGAAAATGGTCCCCTGCATCTGGATCTACAATAGTCTTTGGAGGCGTGATTGCCAGGAGTTAAAATGGCTCCTCCCTGAGCGTTAATAGGAAGTGAAGCTGTGACGTCAGACGTTGCCCGGCCGGTATCTACTAGGCGTCCTCGGGGGCGGTTCCTGTTGCCCTCACTAGACATGGCGCTGGCCAGTGTGTTGGAGGGCTCGGTCCCGGTGAACCGGCACGGGTTCTTCGGGCTCGGGGGTCGTGCGGATCTGTTGGACCTGGGTCCAGGTAGTCCCAGCGATGGGCTGAGCCTCGCCGCGCCTAGCTGGGGTGTCCCAGAGGAGCCGAGGATCGAAATACTTCATGGAACCACCACCCTGGCCTTCAAGGTGCGGACCCCGCCGCTGAGCCGGACTGAGGCCCGCGCGTCCGCGCCCTTCCCGGACCGGAGCCCGCCGGGGCCGCGTCGCGAGGCCCAGGCGGAGGCTCGGGTCGCCTAGGCAGTCTCATTGCCCCGGGAGGCCTCGGGTCTCGCTCTGGCCGAGAGGGGTGTGCTGGGGCTGGGGTTTGGAGGCTGGGGTAGGGGTTGGGGCCCGGGGGCTGAGGCTGGGTTCGGGGCTGGGGCCGGGGTTTGGGGGCTGGGGGCTGGGGTTAGGGGATGGGGGCAGGGGGCTGAGGCTGGGGCTGGGACTGGGGCTGGGGCTGGAAGGAGAAAGACCCTGAGGCTGCGGAGGTTGATTACTTGGCCACTTGTGGTTGATTCTTCCCTGAAAAGAGAGGCAGCCCCAGCAAGGAACTTTGGCTGAGGGAAGGCGGTTGTAACCACTCACCAAAGGTTTTGGAAATGGAACGGCCCCTCTGGGTTATGTCAAGAGGGGGATTTTGAGAGGGAGCGCTGCAGAACTAGGGGCCAGACTATTGAGATTCCTGGCCCAGCTTTGCAATAACTAGCTCTACGGTCTTAGACAGTCATTCTATCTCATTAAGCCTTTTTCCTCATCTATAGAATGAGAGAAATACTGTTTACACCTATGTCACAGTACTGATGTGAAGCTCAAGTGACAATATGTGGAAAAGTATATTGCAGTGATTTTCAACTTTTTTTTTATCTCATGGCACACATAAACTGAGCACTAAAATTATGTGGCATACCAAAATATATGTTTTTTATATATGTGATCCAAAAAAATAGGTATAATTTTGATTCATTCACACTGGACAACTATTGTGTTGGCTGTTGTCATTTTTTTAAAATATATTTTATTGATTTTTTTACAGAGAGGAAGGGAAAGGGATAGAGAGCTAGAAACATCGATGAGAGAGAATCATCGATCAGCTGCCTCTTGGGATGTGCCCGCAACCAAGGTACATGCCCTTGACCGGAATCGAACCTGGGACCTTTCAGTCCGCAGGCCGACGCTCTATCCACTGAGCCAAACCGATTTCGACTGTTGTCATTTTTTGACAACCTAAGGGAAAAGATGTCAGTGCCCCTGACCAAATAGGTATTGCATGTTTTAAAATTTCTTGTGGCACACCGGTTGAAAATTGCTGGTAAGTTGTGAAGTGTAAAATGACAGAAAGAGATGCACTGGGTTTGCACGGATGCAAAAAGAAATGTCGGGATGTTTCTGTGGTCTGACGTGGCCTGCTTTGTGTTCTCCTCTGATCTTAACAGTTTAAACATGGAGTCATTGTCGCAGCGGACTCCCGGGCCACAGCGGGTGCCTACATTGCCTCCCAGACGGTGAAGAAGGTGATAGAGATCAACCCCTACCTGCTGGGCACCATGGCTGGGGGTGCCGCAGATTGCAGCTTCTGGGAGCGGCTATTGGCTCGGCAATGTCGAATCTATGAGCTTCGAAACAAGGAACGCATCTCAGTAGCAGCTGCCTCCAAACTGCTTGCCAACATGGTTTATCAGTACAAAGGCATGGGGCTGTCCATGGGCACCATGATCTGTGGCTGGGATAAGAGAGGCCCTGGTGAGTTAAGCTTTAATCTCATAATTCTTGGGCTGACACTACAGAGAGGAGGGACTGGGTGAACAGATGAGCGAAAGAAAAGGCTTTGGATCATTGCTGGGATCTGCCCATCAGTTTCTCTATCCTCTTTGTTAAAGGAAGTCACTGTGGTGTGGAAAAGGGCATGGAGTTAGACTAGCTGTGTCTTTGACTACCCATTAGGCAGGTTGCTTATTTTCTCAGGATCTGTTTCATCATCTGTTACATGAAGTAATACACATAAAGCATGTAGTTTTTGGCACATAATATTTTTGCTTCTATTCTGTCTCCCATAAAGTAATAAGACCTACCAAGAGTATAGTTGAAAATTGAAGTGCATAATAATAGACATAAAAAATCTAGTCAGTGTTATCTAATAAAAATACAATGTGAGCCACACCTGACTTTTAAGTTAACAACTTATTTAATCCAAAATACCTAAATTATCATTTCCACAAGTGATGTTAGCCCCACTTCAAGTGCTAAATAGACATATGTGGCTAGGGTTACTGTATTGGACCCTGAATATATAGGAAGTAGCTGCTCCAAAGTGAGTCATTTCTCTTTCTTTTTTTCCTTTAGGACTCTGGCCTAGAAGGGGCCTTCATGTACATCTTCTTTCCTTGCTTAATATACTCACCCTAGGTCTTGTTTTGTCATCTCTGAAAAGAAATTCCTTAGCCTAGTTTTCTTTCCAGTGCATAAAAATTTGGCCAGGAAGTTCAGCCTTGTATCTGATGTCAACTTCTTTTCAGCCAGTTTAAAAAAAAAAATTTTTTTATTTTTTTTATTTTAGAGAGGAAGGGGACAGAGAGAAAAAAACATATCAGTGATAAGAAAGAATCATTGATCGGTTGCATGCCACACACTGGGGATAGAGTCCGCAACCCAGGCATTTGTCCTGATTTGGAATTGAACTTTGACTTCGTGGTTCATAAGTTGATGCTCAGCCACTTAGCCACGCTCATCTAGTTTTGAATGTTCCTTTAGTCAAGTTGGAATACAGCTAGTCACCTTCTGTGTAATTTTCCTCCTTGATGCTTAAAAATAATTATTCTTGCCCTTGCTGGTTTAGCTCAGTGAATTGAGCTGTCTGCCTGCGGACTGAAGGGTCCTGTGTTAGATTCCGGTCAAGAGCACATGCTCAGGTTGTGGGCTCAACCCCCACTAGGGGCCTTGCAGGAGGCAGCCAATCAATGATTTTTCTCTCATCATTGATGTTTCAATCTCTCTATCCCTCTCCCTTCTCTAAAATCAATAAAAATCTATTTTTTAAAAATAGGTACTCTTTTCTCCTATTGTTTTTGCTTAATTCATTCACCTGCTTACTAACTGCCTAGTTCTCCTTTGTCCAACAACTATGGGATACTCACCACTTTTTCACTTGCTTTGGAGAATATCAATGGAGATGAATGAGATTATAAAGTGGGTGTGAAAGAGAAGCTCAGTTTGTTACTTTGGAAATTGAGACACTTTTCTCTTTGAAAGTTGTGCAAGAACAGTTAATACATTTTGCATGATCTAGGGAAGCACCTTGGAAATACTGCTTTGAATCCTTAACTGTTTGGTTTGTTCAACTGATGGAAATAGTGTAACAGTGTACAGAAGCTGGCTAGCAAGAAAAATCTAGAAAGTTAAAACATAACTTAAATTGTACCTTCTCAAAGCCCTCCTGACAGCCTGTTCCCATTCAGGATAAGTCAACTCCTTGCTTCAAGAAGCAGACTGAGTCCAGCTGGCATGGCTCAGTGGTTGAGCATTGACCTATGAATCAGAAGGTGGATGTTCAATTCCCAGTCCGAGCACATTCTACCCCCAGTGTGGGGTGTGCAGGAGGCAGCCAACCGAGGATTCTTTCTCATCATGTTTTTATCTATCTCTCCATCTCCCTTTCTTTCTGGAATCAATAAAAGTATGAGAAAGGATTATAGATTACTTAATACAAGGCTGAATGAGATGAATACCATTTTTTCTTTTTTCTTCTTTGTTTTCCTCACCTGAGGATATTTTTCCATTGATTTTTAGAGAGGAAGGGAGAAGGAGAGACAGTAGGAAATATCAGTGTGAGAGAGACATATCGATTTGTTGCCTCCCACACACACCCAGCCAAGGCCAGGGATTGAGCTGCAAATGAGGTACATGCCCTTGACATAATCGAGCCTGGGACCCTTCAGTCTGCGGCTCGACGCCCTGTCTACTGCACCAAACCAGCTGTGGCTGAATACCATTTTATAAATGCTGATGTTTTGAGGAGGAGATGATTACTTCTGATAGGAGGAATTGGGGGAGATTTCATGAACAGATAGCAACTTTCTAAGATGTGGAAATGAGAGGATGGAAACAATGAACAAAGGAAGGGAGAAGCATGAGGGCTGGGGGAAAGTACTTGGAAGTCCAATTTAATTGGAACTTAAGAGTAGAGATCCATAAAGCCAGGAAGGTAAACTGGAATCAAATGGTGAGCCCATTAAGCCAGGTAGAGGCAGTGGGACCGAGGAGATAAATTGGGGTGGACATTAGAACCATCTGACCCTGAAAATCGATGAGAGCAGTGATTCTCAACCTGGCTTACATTACATCAGCCTAAGAATTTAAAAAACAAGCCCTGTGCTTAACCCTCATCCCTATACCAATTGGAAAAGAATACCTTGAATAAGTCCTAGGCATTTTTTTTAAAGTTTCTTTAGGTTATTCTAAGTAAGAGTTGAGAACCACTGAAATAGGAAAAAGACTAGTGAAACTATTGCCAAGACCGGTTTGGCTCAATGGATAGAGTGACAGCTTGGGGACTGAAGGGTCCCGGGTTCAATTCCGGTCAAGGGCATGTACCTTGGTTGCGGGCATATCCCCAGTAGGGGGTGTGCAAGAGGCAGCTAATCGATGACTCTCTCTCATCGATGTTTCTAACTCTATCTCCCTTCTCTGTACAAAATCAATAAAAATATATTAAAAAAAAAAAAAAAAAAAAGACTAGTGAAACTATTAACAGAACTTGATATTACAATAGAAATTGTGTCTTGGTGAGACACGAGAGAAGTTTGGTAGATAATGGAGAACATTGACAGTATTTGAGGACAAGATGTTTGAATCTGAACATGGTGACAAAGGCAGCTGGAATTGATAAAAAATTTTATTAAATCTCTGTCTTAAGTTTTTATCTATATGAGAGGTCAGCTAACTTTTTCAGGTTTGCAGTCAATATGGTCCTTGTCTCAACTACTTAACTGTCCTTCTTTATTTATTTATTTTTTTAATACAAACATGTCCAGATTTTCATCATTTTTTCTTTTTTCTTTTTTTTAAATTTTATTTTATTGATTTTTCACAGAGAGGGAGAGGGATAGAGAGTTAGAAACATTGATGAGAGAGAACCATCGATCAGCTGCCTCTTGCACGCCCCCTACTGGGGATATGCCCACAACCAAGGTACATGCCCTTGCCCGGAATCGAACCCGAGACCTTTCAGTCCGCAGGCTGACGCTCTATCCACTGAGCCAAACCGGTCCCGGCTAACTGTCCTTCTTTAGAGCAAAAGCAGTCATAGAGGGTTGATTGTGTTTGTATTCCAATAAAACTTTATTTATAAAAACAGACAGTTGGCCTGGCCAAACCTTCATCTATACCAGTACTGTCCAGTAGAAATAAAATATGAGCCATGTATGTAATTTAAACTTTATAGTAGCCACATTTAAAAAATTAAAAATAAATAAATTTTCATAGAATATTTTATTTAATCCAATAGATCCAAAATATCATTGCCTGACGTGATTCTATCTTCATTTCAAATGCTCGGTAGTCACATGTGGCTAGTGGCTACCACAGTGGGAAGTGATTTGGAACTCTGGGCTTTATTCTCTACTGTATGATGTAGTTCTTGTGCCCCAGATAGTCTAAACTTTGAGGGCAAGGATTGTTTTAAATACTATCTCGCACAGAAGTTCTGTGTTTGAAACCTAAGTCGTTTAAATTATACTTGCTTTTTGATTATACAGAGAGGACAGAAGGTGGTTACTACAATATGAGGTGAGATGGGTTGGTATGTTATAGAATTCCGGAGTCTTAATATTTAATTTGATTCCTCCAGCCTTTTTTTAAAAGCTATTTTATAGTAGTGCTTTTTTCTTATATTTCTGCTGGTCTCCCTGGGGTTTCAAGAGTGATGGAGATCTGTTGCCTTGGAGGGTGAATTAGATGTCAAAAGGGGTGGCCATTTGTTTTCCTGCTAACCTCATCTCTCTTTCCAGGCCTCTACTACGTGGACAGTGAAGGAAACCGGATCTCGGGGGTCACCTTCTCTGTAGGTTCTGGCTCTGTGTATGCATATGGGGTCATGGACCGGGGTTACTCCTATGACCTAGAGGTGGAAGAGGCCTATGATCTGGCCCGTCGAGCCATCTACCAAGCCACCTACAGAGATGCCTACTCAGGAGGTTCAGTCAACCTCTACCATGTCCGTGAGGATGGCTGGATCCGAGTCTCCAGTGATAATGTGGCTGATTTACATGACAAGTACACTGGATCTACCCCCTGAAGGAGGGTGGATGTAGCTACTTGTGTTTGGGGTGACTGTTGTTGGTAATATGGGTACAACTCCCCATTCTATAGTGGAGGGGTCCCCAATTGTATTGATTTTTTTTTAAGCTCTGGTGCATTGACCTCCGTTGTTACAGTTGTTAATGAGCTGTTGTGGAGGTGAAGATTGGTTTTCCTTTCTTGGATGTTAACATTACACTACTGGACCTCAGTCTGTGTTGTGTCTTTTTTCCACCCCATCCCTCCTCTAAGCACTTTACAGTCAAATAAGCCAGGACAGTGGGAGGGAAGTGACTGTAATTACCGGAAACAGTGGTGTGAAAACATTGTCAGTGGATGCATTAATGTCCCCACTTATGAAGCTAATAACAAAGGAGAAGGAGAGAGGAGCAGGGAGGAGGGAGAGACTTCCCGATTCCGTTTGCAAAGATGAAAAGTTGATGAGGTAGAAAGATGCACAGGGCTGTACCAGGCAGAACTGCAGAGGCGCTCACTCTGGGGTGAGGGAGGGGGGACTGTGTTACATGCAGAGCACAAAGGCGAAGAAGGTTAATCTTGAATTTTAAACCAATTGAGAAGGGAGAGCTTGGACCCCAGGAAAAGAGAAGACAAAAAGCAGTAGTGACCACAAGCTTGCTAACCCTACAGTGCGTATGTGTTGGGGACAGAGGGATGATGGTGGCTTATATTCTCCAGGGCAGGAAGCAGTACAGAACTGTCACTGGGACACGTGGGTGGGGAAGAAGCAGAGACATGGCTGATTCATCACATCCAGCTCCGAGAGGGGCTTCCCAGGCTAGTGGTGGCAGCAGATGGCAAGACCTTCTGTTAAAGAGAAGGCATAGACAGGAAAGGTGGAGGTTGACAGGAGAGGAAGGCATAAACAATTCTGCTTTGTATTTAGCAAAAGTGAAGAAAGTGGTTGGTGACAACTGGGTGTCATGCTTTGGGAGGGGTCATTCATAGAAATAGGGTAAAGCTTCCCTGTGCTATGGCTCCCTCTCCTTTCTGCACCTTCCCTCAGACTATGCAGTCGACTTACTGATTAATGAGGGCTGTCCGCCAGGAGCTGATCGAGGCTTGTTAATTCCATTTGTCAAATGCAGGGAAATTGGGAATTAGTGAGATTGGAGAAGGGAGTTTGGAAAACAAATGACTCTCGTGCCTAAGGAGATTCATTTTGCTGAAAAGGGCCTCGATTTCTGGAGCCGGGGAGCTGCCAGCATGGACCCGGACCGGCTCTGTGGGCAAAGCAGGGAGAAGCCATTGGCCAGTGGCGAACTGTGTGAGAGGCAGAGGTACAGTCATCCTCTCACTTCGGACACTGTTTTTGCAGATCTTAAATATGTTTTTATTGGTTTTAGAGAGAGGAAGGGAGAGGGAGAAAGAGAAACATTTGTGAGAGAAATATCATTGGTCAGCTGCCTTCTGTATACCTCCCACCTGGGATCAACCCTGAAACCCAGACGTGTGCCTGACCGAAAATTGAACAGGTGACCTCTTAGTACATGGGTCAGTGCTCAACCACTGAGCCACACTGGCTGGGATGCAGATCTTTTTAAAAAATTAGAACCTTTCTTTAAAAAAAATTCATGAGAGCCGAAACCGGTTTGGCTTAGTGGATAGAGCGTCGGCCTCTGGACTGAAAGGTCCCGGATTCAATTCCGGTCAAGGGCATGTACCTTGGTTGCGGGCACATACCCAGTGGGGGGTGTGCAAGAGGCAGCTGATTGATGATTCTCTCTCATTGATGTTTCTAACTCTCTGTCCCTATCTCTTCCTCTCTGTAAAAAAATATATTTTTAAAGAAATTCATGAGAAATCCCAACATCTGAAAAATTAAATCAGGTTGAAATAGAACTGAGGGGTCCAGAACCTCAACCATTGAACTTCTCCGCCCCTGGAGCTACAACACTCCCTCTCCACCTCCACCCACCATAGATATACATACTCCCTTGGCACTTTTTAAAAATATTTTATTGATTTTTTTTAATATTTTTTAAATTAAATTATTATCTGTGTACATATTTTAACATTGCCCCCCCTCCCATACATACCATCCCTCCCCAGAGTTTTATGTCCATTGATTGTACTTATATGCATGTATACAAGTCCTTTGATTGATCTATTATCTCCCCCAGATCTTCCTACCCTATCTGCTGTAATTTGACAGTCTGCTTGTTGCTTTACTCTATATCTAACTTTTGGTTCATCAGTTTATAATGTTCTTTATTATCCATAAATGAGTGAGGTCATGTGGTGTTTCTCTTTCATTGATTGGCTTATTTCACTCAGCATGATGTTCTCCAATTCCATCCAGGTTGCTGCAAATGATGAGAATTCCTTTTTTATGGCAGCATAGTATTCCATTGTGTAGATGTACCATGGTTTTTTGATCCAATCATCTGCTGACGGGCACCTAGGCTGTTTCCAAATTCTGGCTATTGTAGATTGTGCTGCTATGAACATAGGGGTGCATATATCCTTTCTGATTGGTGTTTCTAGTTTCTTGGGATATATTCCTAGGAGTGGGATTACTGGGTCAAATGGGAGTTCCATTTTCCGTTTTTTGAGGAAACTCCACACTATTCTCCACAGTGGTTGCACCAGTCTGCATTCCCACCAGCAGTGCACGAGGGTTCCTTTTTCTCCGCAACCTCTCCAACACTTGTCATTTGTTGATTTGTTGATGTTGGCCGTTCTGACAGGTGTGAGATGGTACCACATTGTTGTTTTGATTTGCATCTCTCCCCTTGGCACTTCTTAAAGCCCCAAGGAATACAAGTATTTTTTTTTTAATACTTAGCTGAGGATAAGTTTTCCATTGATTCCAGAGAGAGAGAAACATTTATTGGTTGCCTTACACATGTGCCCCAGGGTATCAAACCCACAACCTGGTTACATGCCCTGCCCAGGAATTGAACCTGCAGCCCTTCAGTGCACGGGACTATGCTATAACCAGTGGGTTACACCAGCCAGGGACCAAGGAACACAGTCTGAAAAATACCTGCCCTGAAAATAACCTTAAGGGTGAAAAGAAAGTTGAAGATTGTAATTCTTTATGACCCCAGAGAGCATAAAATGCCCTAGGCTCTTAGTCCCTGGTCAAAAAGTCAGTCTGGAGAAAGATGGTCTTAAAGCAATGTTGCTCTTGCCCTGTTTCTGTCTCACCCTTGGCTTTGGCAGTGATTTGGGTGTTTAAACACCTGCTCTTCACTAGCTGAGTCTTATGTTCAGGCAAGAAAAAGCATAAGCAACAGTACCATGTTCTGCTCTGGCATCTCCCTGCTTCTGTCCTCTCCTGGATCTTAGATAAAAGGAAGACTCACTTAATGGAATAGATCAATTTGTGGTAGGTTTTTTGGAAAGAGAGTAGAGAAGAGGTAGAGGAAAACTGCAAGACTAGGCCCAATCCTATTCCCGTGTGCAGTGTGGTTTCTTGTTGCTGGGGACTGCTGGGAAGTTGGCTTTGCAGCAATGTATGTCTCTGCTTGTGTGGGATGATGGATGCCAAGTAGGGTTGGAGAGATGCTGTTGAGTGGAGTGTACCAGTTCAGGGACTCCCATCAGATTCAATTTCCCAATGCAATCCTCTTGACAAAGGATGATGGAAAAGAAATTGCCTTAAATAGCTAGAAGATTAATTTCTCTCGGCAGTTCCCAGGCATCCAAGGGACAGGGCTCTTTAAGTGATGTCTGACAATATCTTCTCCTTCCACAGATAGCACAGTAACACCAAAATCTAATTCTTCCTGCTGATGGGACTAATCTAATCAAATCGGGAGCAAACACTCCTAGGGGCCCCGTGCTTTCTCTTGCTAGCAGGGAATGCTGCGGGTGGAAGAACCTCCACACCAGGGAAGGGGGCTGGAGGGTGAGTAGAATGCTCATGAGGGAAGGTGACAGGTAGGTGAGGACGTGGGGAGCGGGGAGGAAGGTCACAGTGAAAGTGAATCGGGAACTGGAGCATAATAGTCGCTGATTGTTCCCTCTTTAGGCAAAATCAGAAGGTCAACGTCTCTTGATATCCTCCTCAGCAAGCAAATGAGAAAACTGTCAAAGCTACGTGGGGAGTGGAAGGTTATATCCTTCGAGGGGGAATAAAACAACATTTCTTCTGGTCCATGGATTCTATGTTGTCTGTCAGGGAAGAGGTGGGATGAAAAGGGAGGAAGGTGAAAAAAAAGTGGAGAGAAACGGGAGCGTGTTCCTTGTCTCAGAAGTAAAGAGGGTGATTGGGTCAATGAAGAATTCACATGAGGCGTGAGCCTATCTCATTTGGTGAATACAATTAGATTTTGTATTTTCTGTTATTTTTGTTTGTTTGCCAGGGCTACAGCAAAAAATTAGTTCCCGTGAAACTGACCAACATCAGTGACCTCAACACACGACCAAGTGCTTTATGGTTTAAAATATACGTATATTGCAACCAAGCATCTCTGCTGGTTTGTTTGCTTTTTAATTCTAGTTTCCCTTCAGGAAGCCAGAATCATATTGGGAAAGTTTTAATTATAGTGAGCAAGAGGAGAGCAAACACAGCAATGGGAACTGCCCTGGTCAGCAGCTGCTGCCACTTCCCGCCTGACCAGGCCACCCCCTCGATCCCACTCCCACACTCCCACGTGGCAGCTGACCGCCTGAATTCCTGCAGTGCTCCCCAGGCTGGGCCTCAGCCAAGTTCTTGCTTCCAGGGGCTATGCCCCACTGAAGCATTTAAATAAAAATAAAAATAAAAAATAAAAATTTCTAAAATATCCCATTCACAGCTGTTAGTAGGTCAGGCAGAAGAAATTCTACACAAATCAGCTTCTTGGGTTTATTTAACCCAGCTCATTTCTCCCTGAAGCTCTTGTCTAAGTTAGGTGTCAAGCCTCACTGATCTTAACACTTTATAGTCCATATTTAGCTGTCATCAGCCATGAATATCTGACTAGGTTATTTGATAGGACATCAGACATCATGTGGATTCAATCTTTTCTGATGCTTCCCCCTACTCACCTCTACCATCCTCTCAGGCTGCCTCTTCTTTCTAATCTCCCTTTGTTTTATTTCTTTATAAAAAATTCTCTCACTTTATAAAAATCCCCTTTTCTTTCCTCCGTAGAATTTAAATAAAAACCAGTCAATCAATAAACCAAGTGTGCTTATGGACTTTAATATAACAAGAAAAGGTTATCACTTGCTCCTGGGAACCCAGAAAAGCTGGTGTTA